CTACCTCACAGAGCTGTTAAGTGAGATAGCAGATGATAGCTCTCCATGTATCGCTAATGCATTTATTTCCTTTCCTATACAGAACAAACAGGACAGAAGCTTAACAGACAGCAAATCAACACAAAAACCCCCTAAAATGTAGGAAAAGAATGCGGTGAAGTATTTTGATGCATGAGGTTTTAATTAGGAAAATAAGACAAGAACGCTGAGAATAGCAAAACTGGAATGTTTGCAAACATTTAATTTTATTTAAGAGCTAACAGCTGAAGTGTAGAAAGGTTATTTCTGAGATGAGAAACTTGAGGAAATTTCAGAGCATTCTGTGTGTCCCACTGTCCTTTGAGGCTACAAAATATTATTGATTAGTGTTATTATTGATCAGTGTTATATTACTATTGATCAGGGGTTTTTTGTTTTGGGGTTTGTTTTTTTTTTTTTACTTTTTTAAAATGTTCTGTTCCTGATAACCAGTGCTGTTATCAGGTCTAATGAGAGAACAGTTTTAAAACAAAACCAATTCTTTTATCAGGAAAGGGAAGTACAACAGTTTTCCTTGCAGGTTTGGCGTTTTGTCAAGCAGTACTTTACCTCACTGCTGTCTGGAAAACAGTACTGCATTATTCTACAAACTTCTGTATGCAATAAGAATTTGTTCCTTAAGGTGTAGCTTTCAAGTGTTCTGATAAAATTCATATCAGATGTAAAGGAAATGAAACTAAAATGCTATGCAGGTCACACCTCAGAGGTATACCAATTTTATTTTGAAGTGTTCATACCTATACAAATAATGTTTAATAAACATTTCGCTGCATTGCATAGGAAATGTATTCTGTCTGATCATTTTCTTTTTAACATCACACATACCAGCAGTTGTTTCTTGAACAGGTGTGCCGGTTTCTTGCATGTGATATACAAGAGAAAGACAGAAGATGTTGCAAATGAGGTAAGCATGTTGAACATAAAAGTTGCTTCCCTCAAGGATAACTAGTATTATCTTCTACTAGCTGTTTCCCCCTACTCATGGTAAACAAAACTTACCTCTCACAAAAGGAACGCAAATAGATGGCTTTTGCCAAAGACAGAACTAGAGAATTAACACTCAAAAAGCATTACTGCCTAAGTTACAATTTAGTCACAAGCTGTGGCTTGCCTGAACAGGTACAATACCTTATTTTGTAGCAGACACTAATTCTTGGGGATCGATGACTTTCTTCATTCATCATGCTGCTAACAGGAGAGACAACTGCCTCCCTGCTGTACTGTTGAGAAATATTACTCAGGCAGAAATCAGGTCTTTTTGAGACCTTAAAAGGTGAACGATGGTCACCTCTGTCCTCCAGAGGGAACCACAGTGTCTTAGGATGAACCCTGTAGGATTAGTTTAACAATAGCAAATAAGGCCAACACTTATGAACATGCTGAGTTCTGCAGTGGTACAGCTCTGTGCCAAGCCACTTCTGAAATGAAATGAGATTGTGTTGTTCCAGAGGCATAGCACTTGCAGCTCATTTCATAAGCTCATGTTCTGATTGCTTAGAATTTATTCCAAGACCATAATGCTGATAGAACTTAGACTGTTCTTTGGGTCTTGGCAAACTTTGGGTTTGGACAGGCATATATTCAAATCCTATCTTAATAGCATAGCAGAACATTGCTACTTCAGACAAGAAGGCACTGCTTTCAGTGTGTAAGGAGGTCACCATCTAAGAACTTCAGTGATCCCTACCTTAATTTTTCATGCCTATTTCTTAATCCTCATTTCAAAAAACTAACAAGTTCTCAGAACTTTATGCAGAAAAGTTCCAAGTTCTACAAGGCATGCACAGGATAAACAATTTAAGGCTGAACTTATTGTATACTAGATATGAATGCTATATGCAGCTACTGCCAACAAAATACTTGTTGGCCAAGGATTGTTATTTTAGATCACACATAAAAACTAGCCAAAACAAATACAAGTAGTGGCCTCTTGTAATAAAACATGCAAAGTATATAGAGCTAAGAATACATTATATGCACCACTTCTATTGCAGTCTAAAATAAAATCTTTCTTTTACGTATATTACTTATGTTCTTCTAAAAGCAGAGGAGCAGAATTATTTGAAAAAAGACTCGCCTCCTCATTCAGGATTATTTTACAAAGTTGTATTTTCAGCCTTTATAAAATAGTTATACAAAGACTATTTGTGATAACATACTCCAAAATACAGCAGATTTAAAGCATTTATATTTTACATGATCCAACAGTGCAATATGCACTTCAATTTAAAACGACCTTCCTGATCAACAATGTGTTGTATTAATCTAAAACATGATTTACCACTCAGTTGTTTTGGTTTGCTTTTTTTTTTTTTTAAAAAAGTCAGATTCTAGAAGACTAACTTGAGAGATTTTAACTTAGATCAGGTTTAAGTTCCATACAGAGCAGTTACCATGTTTATTCAGGGCTGACATGTGATGATGCATTGCCAGTTGTGTTGTACTTTGGAATAAACAGCAAAGATCCCTGCATACTGCAGAAAGCCAAGCCAGCTGATGCTTGTAGATCACCAGTACCGGGAGTCCTACAATCTTGGAAAGAGACCTCCTGTATCTGCTGATAAAGTTAACTCTCTAAATTAAAAATATGCTATATGAAATACCTTATGTAATAAAATAGTAAAGCCATGCTAGGCTCTTGGGTGGAGTATAATACAGTTCAATAAAACAGCTATCCCTTTGTGTTTTTCTAGGGACTGCTTATCCTAAGGTAAACAAAGGCCCATCACACTTAACTCGGTGACAATAAGCCACAGGCCTTCCAACACTGTAAACGCCCAAAGCCCAAGATACACTAGAGAACTATTCAGCTGTACCACCACAGGACAAAAAGCAACAGTTAACCGCCAATCTCTTTACTCGTACATCAACAGGATAGACACCTTCTTGACTGAGTGAAACCACAACTGAAGTTAAGTTCACTTCTGTACCAATGGCAATTTAACATCTATCAGTTCAGGCACCTGCAGTAAATTAGTCTTATGTTGCATCATCACAATAGCTAATTTCACACTCTTTGACAATTTCCTAAGAAATGGAAGTAAAAAGGGTTAAAAATGTGGAGGTTTCAGAAACAGAATTAAGGGGAAAGAAGCAAACCAGCTTGCAGCAAAAAACTGACACATTATGTACCAAGTTTCAGTCCTACATAGAAAACATTTGTCTTAATATGCCAAAGCTCTGTTGTCTGGACTAGGGCAAGTCACCTTTTAAAGTTTTAGCCACAGAAGCTCTATCACATTAGCCACCATAAATTATTTTGCAATGCAATTTTTCATACAACTTTACCCAGAACCGGTACTTCAGTATTCATGCTCATGTTAATAGCATATTCTTTTCATGGGAAGAACTACTATTTTAAAAGATCTCTGAAAACAAATGTTATGTGAAACATGAAGTTCATACCTGTTTGCAATCCCTATTCTAGTGTGGAAGTCTGGTCACATTATCTCCACAGATGTCACTTTGATCAAAGGGTTCAAGAGCCACAGATCATAGTTCACAGATCCAACTGTACAGCATTCCCCTTCAAGCTTTGGCCAATTTAAATTTCAATGTAATACATTAAAAGTTATCCAATTCATGTTCATACACTTAGCATGCCAGTGAAGAGTATTTGCCCCACTTCTGCGGGCAACAGGTATCCCAGGAATAGATAGGGCGTGAGTCTTTCAAAATTTCAGTTGATAAAGCACGTTGGAATACCTCCAATAGTTGAGAAATATTCACTTTACCAGATTTTTTTTATACTGTATATACTTAGTCAAGACACTCAAAGGAAAGCTTATAGTAGTAGTTTAAAGGATAGTGGTATTTTTCCATTTCTCTCTTTCTAAGTCCTATTCAAGTCAGTTATCTTGGGCTTTGGTAACAAATGGTACTCTGAACAGGGAAATGGAAATCTTAGTCCACAAGGCAGATGTAGCAAAAAAATTATAGGCAGCATCTCAGTTTTTATTGAAAAATATTCTGAGTACATCAGTACCTCCTTTTTTCTGTAGGAAGAGTCCACTTTTTTTTTTATCTTGTAGCATTTTCAGGTAGGGGAGAAAAGAGGGGGAAAACAAGGTTGTTCGTGAAGCCCCAAGTGAAACATTCAAGAACAAAGTGGTTGATGAATATACTACTACTGAAAAAACAAGTCTGAAGTTGCAACTGGTCTATTCTGCTGCAATTTAAGTTTCTTGCTAGCAGCCATTAAATCTCATTTGATGTTTTCTAGGAGATTTCAGAAAAAGTTAGTGTTTGAGGTTCACAGGCACACAACCATTAGCATACTCAGGACCCACATGACTGCTGTCTGAAGAATCAGTTGGTCCTGAGCTGAGATAAACTGGAGGGGGAAAAAAAAAAGAAATCCATTAACATAAAATAAAGACTACTGAAGCAGTCATGGCAAGGTGCCACGCATCTGCATTTCTTTTGTTCTATACACAGCTGACCAGATGAGAAGTGCAGTCCAGTCCAGTCAGTTTTCAGTAGGATACCATGGAAAGATGTGAAGTTTCAGCAAGACTCTCAACTGGACTGTGTCGAGGCACAGTGTCACACACATAGAAAACAAATTATCCTACTGCCTATACTGAAAAGTACTAAAGAATGGGTTGACCACAGGCACAAGATTTCAAGATTTCAGCTTAAGTATTAGCTGCTGCCTCTATAAAAGTCACTTCTAAAAAAGAACTTCATAGTGGCAATTAATTATAGAATGATTGGGTTTGAAAAAATCTTACTCTATAAGAAAGATAAAATTATGAGAACGGAGTTTTAGCTTGACAACTGTAAACCTGATATTAAAGTGTCAAGTGTACTATACACTCTATAAATACTTTAAGATGTTTTAAAGTTAGATATCCCCAAATGCCCATTTTAGGGCTGTAAAACGTACAGTGAGACTCCTCAAGTGTTAGTTCAAACTACATTTTTTCACCTCATCATTAATCAAAAAACGTATGCCTATCAAAATAGAAAAAAGTGCAAAGCCTCAGAAACAATCTTATACCTTAATTTATATCCCAATCTCGCATTAAAATCACCTGTCTCAGGCATATTCAGAGATCACGTGATCCACAGAAATACCCTTGAACTGGAACGCTGCCCATAAAGGCAAGTCACACATCAGTACACATTTTCTCTGTGTTCCATGTGCACGTTTGCATTCTGTGGTTTCCCCTTTATCTAATTCTATGTTACGTGTCTATGAATAACAGTTGCCTGGGGTTTTCCATTGTTAAGGCTGAAGGTCTCCTTGATTATCAACATTTATAATATTTGCTGGATTTATTCCATTTTCTATTTGTTTCTGATGCGATGCTGCTGTGACAAACAAATGGGAAGATTCCATTGTAGAATGGTGACTGACATCTGCTTTCACTAGAACTTCATAATACAGGAGATAAAAAACTGGAGTTACTATGCCAATAATCAACATAATCACTACAGCTGTCCACCATCCTATACCCCAATCTGCTCCATAGTAAGGATCTTTGCATTTTTTAGTTTTACCATCAGTTTCAAAGCAGATCTGTTGGGCTGCCAAGGCAGAAACAACTTCATTAAGATTCTCTCTCTTTGTATCATTACACTTCACTAGTTCTTCTATATCTCGATCCACTTCTTTTAAGAAGTTGCCAGCGGTCTCATTAGCAGAGAATTTATCAGAAGGTGATGTTTCCTGCACTTCAGGGGTACAGTGAGCAGGCCGAAGGACTGGTCTTCCTTTTGGAGAGACATGTGTTTCCGTCAAGACACTGAACTTTTTCACTGGAATTTTGATAGACCTCAGTGCAAAAAGATCTTGATCGTTGATAAGATTGTTAACTCTCTTGATATCTGCAACCTAAAAACAAAACCAACAGTTTAAATATCAAAGCTCCATTGAACCAAAACTCTTTAAGAGTACTACATCCTTGAGAAATATAGTTCTTCCCTATATTCCCTTTTTTTTTGTTCTGTTTTCCCTTTTTTTTTAAACCGATACCCATTCAAACAGTATGAAGTGACAAGAGGTCAAAGACCAAATATGAACAATGTTAAAGCAAGACGGTAATTACAAGGTAACAAGCGTCCTCACTTCCGATAAGAAGGCTGAAAGTCATGTCACGCATGTATTTTCACTTAATATATATTAATCTATTAGTGGCAACTCTCTCTGTGAGAGGAATGGGACTTTACCTCAGTGTTTTCCACTGTAGTAAGTTACTGTGAGTTCCTAATTAAATTTAAAACTTCTGAGTAAAGAATATTAAAAATTATGAGCTTCCAATTCATCTGGCCACAGCTGTGGTTTGGACACTCCTTCTGCTTCTGGGGGCTAAGGCAGAAACCAATCATAAGTTAAAACTGTCATCTTCCCTCATGAAATCAGCGCTCCCCTTTCCCTATTCTTACTCAAAATTAACCTCATTTTGCTCTCAGTAAGTTCTGATTTTAAGTCTAATGTGAAATGTTTGGCAAGGATTTAAGTACCCTTTGAGAATTAGCAGCTTCATTCTGAGACAGTAATTCCCTCAACATGGAAAGCACAGCCACAAACCTCCCGCGAATGAAGTACTTAAAAATCAGTACTTTTTTTGCAACACCTGGTAAGCACACAGGAATTGTGCCCATTTTAAGATGCACAGTACCTGAGTTCACATCCTTCCTGTCCTCATTGGGAGGACATCTACCTTGGGAGACGTTACAGACAGAAAAAAAGGTAGCAACCCTTGTTGCTGTGACTGCTCCATTTACAACACAGATGTGCCCAGAAAAAGTAAGTGAGGGCCATCAGTGCCTACTGCCTGCACTGAAAAAAAAGTTTCAGTTCCTGTAACAGTGTATTTGTTACGTGTACCACGCTGAATAAATCAGATGAGCATAAAAGACTGCCAAATGTGGCACCTACCTCAGTGATTAGTGATTCCACCACAACCCAAGTTATGCTTTCTGCCTAAAGCCCTGGACTGCTCTTCCACATTCTCCATGAATTTCCAAGAGCGCAACTCAGTTATCTTATTTCTTATCTGAAGCCTGATCTAGTAAGCCTGCTCAAAATACCTAATTGTGGTGGGTTCTGAAGCCAAGAATTGGTTAATGAGGCGACGGCCTGTCATGATTATGAAATAGTTATGTCAAGACTTTGGTACCCAAGCTCATGACAGGAGGCCCCTAGTTCTGTTTCTGCCTGAAAAATTAGATGACAGCAAGACTTCTGTAAATATAGATTTTTAATTTGACCTCTTGAAAACTGCACAGTTAGCAGTCAGTCCACCCACACGCACAGCTGACTTCCTGTTAAAACTAGACAGAACCAAAGGCTAACATCAACCAAGACAGAAAGCTCTGCCTTAATGAGTACTGGCCAGCCAAAAGTACCCGGTAGGAAAGACATTCACCAGACTAATTTAAGAACTCTTAATCAGGAGAAGTAGCGAGGTCTGAGCACAGAAGGGATCGCTTGGGGCATGAGGGCAGAGAGCTCCTAACGGTACAACATCCTCGCGCTAGTACATATTTATGCAACTTAGCAGCATTTAGAAGAAAATGACAACGTGGTTTTTTTTCCCTTCCCTGAATGGAATTAAAGCTCCACACAAACCCGGAAGGTGTCTCAGCAATACCCTCATCACTAACGCTGACAGCGAACGCGGCGCTTGTAGAAGTGCCCACGCGTGACTGTGTACAACTTTAATGTGTACGCTTTGAGAGACAGTGCCGCAAGCAAAACCATAGATTTGTTTCTTACACTTACGTTAAGTGAAAAAGCCTACAGGATTGGAACTCCAGCATACTCTGCCCTGTTATGCTAACGCTCTGACGTCATTTTTTACTTCTGAAGAGCATGGCGTTGCCTACGCACCCGCTAACAGCCGCATTAACCCGTCCGGCCGAGGGACCAGCCCAGCTCGCAGCAGAGGCCGGGAGAAGGGAGAAGCGGCCGGCGCCTGGGGACTTACCGAGCAGCAATACTGAAGCGCGATGGCGTTCAGAGTGTCCCCTTCCTGGATATCCCTCGTCAGCAGGACGATATCATCCAGCCTGTCCCTCGACGCGCTCCTCCGGAACTTCTCCCTGCCCCACGGCCGCAGCTCCGACACCTCGCCCTCCTCCTCCGGCCCCTCGCTCTCCGCTCCCGCCGCGATCACGAAGGGGTACAGGTGACCGCCGACGGGCGGCTGCGCAACAGCCGGCGGCTGCAGGGCG